AAATACTTTGAGAATAGGAGCGTTTCGGTCTGTGTCTGTTGCTAAAGCAAGGTAAACACACAATGTTCGATTATATCTCCATAATTCATCAGTAGCGAAATGACTAAGAGGACAATCGACGAGAGACACTCTATCATTGCCATAATTGAAGTCATAACTGTAGGCAGATGTCACTGACATATCATTGAAGATACACCATAACTTTGGTTTTTGGGGTGCGATCGGTTTGGCTGAGTTACTTTTCGATAGTACCGTCCTGAAATCAGTTGGAAAAGCTATTTTAAAGGTCACACTTATACCATAGCGTATGCGACTGGGCTAGCACTCAACACAAGTAGATGCTCATCGGCTGATAGAGAAGAAACGGTCGGTACATTGTCTTCGGCGGTCTCTGGCCATGCTGCAACAACAGAAGCCAGATCATGAAGATGTATCTGTTCTTCGACTGTGTCACCAATCAGCCGCCATTTGTATACATTTGTAAAAATCTGGTTTGGACAAGGATGACTTGAGACACACGTGCCATTACAATTGGAATTAATCTACCCATACATTACGTTCATATTTGTAATTTGAGTCAACATTTAAAGAAAACTATCACCACTTATGAAAATTGATATGAATAAGATTAATAGCATATTCTTCTGCGCCATTGAGAGTAGCCAGAAAGTGTAATAGAAGAGTGGTTTCGATGAGATAAATCCTAAAATCTTCAAAGTGTATTATTCATGAGATGATGGTAATTTATAGATCGAGCAATATTTCCTCATTTTTCAATACATTGATAGAGTACATAAGATATTTCATCTACTGAAAGCCGAAACTAAATCGACAATTCGTCGTATTAATGTTAAAACTTTTCGATTGCTTACGTTTTTTGCTGAAGTCAAACAAAAAAAAAGCAATTAACAGAAAGTTAACTAAATTATGCCGTTTCATGCTGTTTTTTATTGTATGGGTACATGTGCAATGTAGGACTTTAATCTTTTGAGTCTTGATTTAGTATTAAACGAAAATCAATATTGATCAAAATTTTAAAAAAGGCGCAGTTTAGAAAGTGGGCCGCATTTTGTATGCTAATAATCGTTTCGAAGATTGGAAAAAAATTTCGTCAAATCTGCATGGAAAACTTAGTGTAGAGAGCTCTACTAGCTAATAGTGTGCAAAAAGATAAACTTCATGTTCTTGAGACACAGGAAGAGTCATGAGAAGATTTCAGCATTATCATAACATGACATTCACCTATGGAATACTATTGAAAAGTTTCAATGGTGGGAAAACGCTCTCCCTCAACTCGTCCACGATTTCTGACGATCCAATGGATTCCGAGATTGGATGCATTGGGTGCCTGAGACACCATCAACAGTTCGTGAAAATTTTAATGTGGTGATTCTGTTCAAGTCATCGATGGGCAGGAAGTTGACTCAGTGTATTTGGCTGTTGCTATCACCCATATGACCAGCAGTGTCACATAGCCAGGGAATCGAGGATTCTGAAGAAGTATAGGTGATGTCGTAATTCCTGTAGATACCGTATCTCCTGAAGGAATCGTAGGCTAAAACTGAAAAAAGAAATTTTATCGAGAGACGTCGCATCTCAACGCACTTCTCCCTGGGAGATGCGACATCTCCCGCACCGACATCTTTCAGCATCTCCTAATAATATTTCTTTTTTTATTTTTAGCCTAGAACTTCCCCGAGAGACGCATTTCCTATGGAAGGTACCGCATCTCCAGATAAATTCTTTTTCTTAATGTTTAGCCTAGCGTTCCTTTGTGAGATGCTATGTCACCCAAGGTGAGACGGCATTTTCAAGCACATCTCCCTAGAAGATGCGGTATCTCTAAGCATATCTCTCTAGCGGCTATAAGGGCGAAATACGCACATTAAAATCTCACAAATGTGGGCAAGGGAGGAGACGCGAACACACGAAAACACACACAGTAGTGGAATATCTAGGACGTCGTTAGAGGGGGCACTGTCATCTCACTGAGAGTTTTTACCCTCTCACTGACAGGAAGAAAAACTTAATATTATCTAGAAATTTTTATCGCTTTTCTAGGATATTATATAGCTCTAGGAATTCAGTTGGCGAGGAATGAATGCGCCTTTCAGCTGTACTAGTCTTACTTGAAAAACAAAATTCATGTTGGAAATAAAAGGGTGCGTGTATGAATCATGATCAGCAATTACTTACATCTATTATGAGTTTAGAATAATAATAATACAAAACATGTAGAAGGTGTATTGGTATAGGCCAAATCGAACCGATTTTTACTGACTCGAGTTCAGTTCAGTTCAATTCGTTTTTCTTTTCTAAACAGCGGTCCGGATTCGGTTCTTTTTCGATCTCGGATGTTAAACAATCCGTCAAACGTCATTGGATCATTGTCCAGTGCGTTACATTTTTACAAGCAACGTGATATCCCAAATCGATCACTTTCGTCATAAGTTTGTCTACATTCGCTCGCTTTTCGAAAATTAGTTTCGATCGACTCAGTTCAACATCATTTTTCAAGAAGTGGGTCAACTTTGGTTCGGATCAGCTCGAATGGAATCGCATCGAACTGTTATAGTTCTGGTTGGTCCCTTTTTGATCTCTGATTGTTGATACAGACGGTATAGGGGGAGTAGAAGTCTAATTTGCGTTCAAAAATAAGTAAAATTTTCAGCATTTGATCAACAACACTGTAGCTAAAAAGTCAACATTTTTATTGTGAAGTCCGAAATGTAATAATGGAACTTGAATCAAGTTATTTGAGCCAGTGTTGCCTATCCAAATACTACATAACGAAAATACCAGTATTCCAGAATTTATTCATTGGGTTTTAAAATTTTTCTGAACTGTAAATTGATGACAGACTGCACTGAAAAAAAGTGTCATACGGAGCCAACGAAAGTTTTGTAGCAAATCTACGAAGCCTTGAAAAAGTACCCCAGACCTCTGGTAAGTCTTTTTGAAGGCGTTTTAGGTCCTTAGAAAACGTTAAAAGGTTTCAACTTCGTTGCAACCTAGGTTTTTTCTGGCACTGCTTTTTTAGAGTTTGCGATGTATACAGAAACAAGCATTGATCGCGGCTCTTCACGGAGCAGAGAGGAGAGAAGGCAAAGTGGATAGAGAAAGGAATCAGGAGTAATTCTTTTAATGATTGCAGCTTTTTACTTAATATTTTGTATACATATAGTTGACACTTCATAATGATTATCTGCGTTTATCTAGCCTCCCTAATGAGAAAAATTCCTGGAAAATGAAGTTTTCGGCTTTTGAAAACTGCGAATAACACAATAAAAATAGTTGTTCCATTATAATACTTTTTAGCAAAAGAAGACAACAATGTTTTTTCATATACTTGATACAGTTATTAAATAAGTATTATATAAATCTGTCATGCATTAATTATTCTTCAAGCAATTGAGACAGTTTATCATTAATAAATCGTTTCCATCTTTGGAATCCTTACAGATAAAAATTAGTAGGGTACAAATTAGACCTCATTTTATAGTTTTCATTCGATATGCATCTTAATGTGCGAATTATCTAAATGTAAATCTTTAGACTTTTAAGAGAAAGATCACTGCTTGGTTAAAGTGGAACACTGATATACGTATATGTCAAACACATTTAGAAAAAATATATGTTGTAGCAGTTTATTACTTGAAGAAACTCTTTTGGTAGCAAACCATAAAAAGCTTAGTAAGCGGTCGATGCATAGAACTTAGAAAACCTAAAATTTTGCATATAAGAGAGACAAACAAAAGCATACTTATTAATCTAAAATTGTTAGAAAGTCATATAAACCCTAACGAGGATTAGTTCTACAGTTGCATTTTTTTGATGATACCGACCGTTTATGATCTGATTGATCCACATTAATCACAAATAACACTTAAGCTGAATTAATAGTTGAGCTAGGTAAAAGTTTACATAGGGGACACAGTTCCGTTTTAAAACTTTTTACTTATGTATCAGATAATATTTTGAAAATGTACAGATGAGGACGAAGAAAGTGCCCAGACTAGAGCCAACAAATATTGTAGGAAATGCATCAAATTCAAATGTTAAGGGTTGACACAAGTCTAGTTGTGGCGTGTAAATGAGCTTCCTGATGCTATAAAGTTTATCACACAAAAATGAAATTGCAGAAGTACTTCGGGTTACTTTATAGTATTTCGTGAATTTCAGCAACGTCTTTCTGGTATGTTGTAGAAAATCTTTATAAATGTTAGGTGAAGTTTGAAATCATTCTGTATTATGTCCTGAAACGTATTAAAATGAGTTTCCAATTATTTCATATTTTCTAAAGTTCTGTTTAAAACCTAAATTTCTCCATATCCACAGTATGTGTTGCAATCTTTGTTAGCTTTTAATAGAAAAATGACTCACTTTTACTAACATTATATGTTTCAGAGGAAATGTAGAAAGATCGGGCAGCTCGGCATATTTTTACGAACAGGAAAATTATAAAAGTGAAAAAAACCACACTGTAAAAAAAAAGGTATTTTACCGAACCCTCCAAAAAGGTTTCGTAGGTGTCTAAAAGCTTCCAAATGCGTCCAAATGCTTAAACAAATGGTTGTTAAAATCTACGAAACCTTAAAAGGGTCGGGCCGCGGGTACACTGTCCGAACCATCTCCTACAAAACCTATTTAGGTTCCGTAAAGCGAAAAAAAGGTTTCGTAAGAAAATAGGAAACCTTCATAGTTTCATAGTAAACCTTGTGGTTTCGTATAAAACTATAGTGCGAAACCATAGGGTTACTAGGAAACTATGAAGGTTTCGTATTTTCTTGCGAAACCTTTTTTTCGCTTTACGGAACCTAAATAGGTTTCGTAGGAGATGGTTCGGACGGTGTACCCGCGGCCCGATCCTTTTAAGGTTTCGTAGATTTTAACAATCATTTTTTTAAGCATTTGGACGCATTTGGAAGCTTTTAGACACCTACGAAACCTTTTTCGAGGGTTCAGTAAAATTACGTTTTTTTTTAGAGTGTATTTATTGCTTTAAGAACTTTTAAATGATTTTTACAATCAATAAATTGAAAATTCAATAAGTTAAATATTTCTCGGATTGTTGAACGACTGAATATTAATTGACATTCTCTATCATTAACTAAAAAAATAGTTACATGAAAAAAAGAAAAAACCATGACATAAACTTTTTGTCTTTTTCTTGTTACTTATTTGTTTAAACATAAGTGATATTTTACCAAGAAATTTTTCTATAGTATGAAAATCTGATTTTGTTTTTATATCAAGTTTCATGTAAGATGGACATTGACCATGACATTGTTCTTTATCCTTTGGTAACTATATTTAAAAAAAAAACAAAAAGGAAAAAATTTTTTTCCTAATGTTTAATAATTAATATAAAAATATTTGCTTTTGATGAGTCGTAAAAAATCATTAATAATGGATAATTTATTGGTAATTGATCAATTGGTGTATGATTTATTTTAAATGAAATTTGGTCTTGTGGACATTTTGTTTCATTACGTATTATATTAATACATTGTTTACACATTGTATGACCACATATAGGTAATGTTATTGGATAATATAATGGATTTTCATATTGCAAATCATGTGAACATTTAGCACAACGTAAAAATTCCATATAATATGATTGAATGGATTGTTTTGATAGAGACATTTTTATTCAATATCTAAAAATAAATAAATAAAAAAAAATAGTTATTTTCATTTTTATCTTATTAATAAATAAATGAATAAATTATACTTACTAGTTTCAATAGATAATTTCTTGTATATATGTTGTAATGATAATGTTAGACGAAATTCTTTGTTTTAATCGCTGCCTATTTAACTAACTGAATGAAGAGACAGATAGCAGAGAGAGACGACGAGAATGGTGATAGACGTATTTGTATCTTGACTTTCTCTCTCTCTCTCTCTCTCTCTCTGTCTGTTGTTTCTTCAGTTTCAATGTATATGTGATGATAACTTCTAGTATACATAACATACAAAAGAAAAGTAACAACATACATATACTCGTTAGAAAACAAACATTTGCATTGTTCTTCTTTTTTTTTTCTTTACGAATATAGAGAACGAAATGAAGTTGGTTTATTTCATTGATTACACGTGACAAGTGAAATAAAGAAATATATACATACATTTAAGATCAAAACATTAATTTTAACAGTAGAAAATTTTCAATAGTTATCTTTTTGTTTATATTCTCTCTTTCTCTCATATTGTTGTCTAAGAAAAAAGCTAAAGATCACAAAAAAAAATACAAAACTGAGGAAAAGTTTTGTCTCTTTTTTTTAATGGATGCTTACTTTTATTTGGTATCTTTAACAAAAATATTCTTTATTAATAAATTCATCTTTTGTAATTCATTGTGCAATTGAATCATCAGCTATAGTCATCATTCGAACTGAACCAGTGAGAATATATATATATACTAGTTTTTCTTGTAATTCTTCCTGTTTATTTATCAACTTTATCAACTTCATCAACTATATCCAATTGAATGGTAGCATGATCTGTTGCTACTATTATTTTATTAGTTGTAACACACTTTTCATCGAATAAAATAATTGAATTTGTTCTTCTATTGGTCATACATCTGTATGTTACCTTTTTTAAAGATAATTTAGATCTAAAATCAATAAAAAAAAAAGACATTGAACTTTTTTTATTTAATTAAAAGAAAAAAAACAACAACAATGTTTTCCTTTTTTTTAAAGTTTTTCTATAATGAAAAGTTAATTTTTCTAAAAATTGGTATTTTCTATAATATATCAGTGAAGATAATTATATCATGTTTGAATAATATTTAATGGAATAATTTGTTTGAATGTTTGAGAAACATTTTGAAAAAATGATCTTATATAATAAACAAAATTATTAACTATTTTTGATAGATCTCTTCACATTCGAAGTCTTGTACGACACTTTTATAACATCATAAAATAACATCACACAAATGAACTATCGTGGTATTTTTTCACTCTATTGACTAGATAAAAATGTTAACAATTTCACATTAGTTTCATTCTTGCTGCAGAACAGGATCAATTAATAGAATAGGAACTGCCTGAAGTTATATGATTGTGATACAGATAGAGTTGTTTCACTTTCTTAAAAAATCGACAAATCAAATTGAATTTTTTTTTAAACCATTCCCTTGCAATATAAAACTCATTGGACGAATTATGCACCGAATTTGATAGAACAGTCTCGAGAAAAGTTCCTTTAGTTAATTGATTTCTCGCAATATTGGAATTTTAATTAGAATGTTCACATCGACATATGCATATTTTTCAGGTTTTCAAGTTGAAAGTCTTTGTAAGATTGCGATCTAAATTATTTCTAGACTTCTAAAACTCTGAAAATCACTTGCTAAATCTGAAAAACTTTTAAAATTAAAAATCGTCTATTTCAATGAAAGGTTTACTTTGATTCAAAGTATCTTGTTGTGAAAAGTTTGTCGTTTCCTATAACTTATTGATCAATGAGATGAAAATTACAGTTCTACTCTGCAAATAGTACAGTGTGAGTTGTCGATAGTTGTAAATGGTATTCATTTCTAACTTGGTTACTTATTTTATCGTTTACATCCATCAATATTTTTCATAGTAAAAATGGATAAAAACAATTATCTCTAGTTACAAATAAAAAATATTGCTGAAACGAAAACCTGTTTCTAAACAGTTAATGTCACCATGGGTCAAAAAACATGATCGTAACGAGTTTAAAGATATAGTAGCATGCTCAATCTTCGTTGTCTTGTTGAATAGAAATGGATTAGAATATTATATTCATAGAATATTTTCTGATCTTTTATTCTATCTGAGAATTAAACTAGAAAAAGTATATGTCATTAATCCCCATTCTTATTATCAAGGCAATTTTGTATTCGATTATGAATTTGTTGGAAAAATATCGGCATCCTCATTCTAAATTAAAGCTCAAAAAACAATGATAACAGTGAATTCGAACTGACTGTTGCTTACATGTTTCGGGTTGGAAAAGGAAGTTTTGATTTTCATTAGATTGTCGAAGATTGCAAGAATTAACCAACAAAAAGTACAAAGCCTCGTATAATATTTGTTTGGAAAAGGAGCTCAATATAAAATTAGCTACGTATAATAAACAATTATTGTAAGTATATGTAGAAAAATATATATTGATAAATTGTTGCATTATTATTATTTTAATCTCTATTACTTTCGAGAGTTTATTCTATTCGAATAAAATTTAAATCTCGTCTTGACAAATATTTAGTTTTGAATAAAAATAAATATTTTTCTTCTTTTAATTCTGTTATAAATATTAAAAAAAAAAGCTTGAAAAGGCTTTGTTAAATCGTTAACCAAGACAAACATTTCAATCTTCAAAAATTGAGAAATAATGAACAAATGAAATATAATTCTTCAAAAACTAAGAAAATCATTATGAATTTCACATCTATTCTTGAAATACTGGTGATAACAAATGTAAATTTATTGTGAGAAACATGATACTCATTTAAATAATTATGAAAGACCTTTTATTCTTTAGTTCATGAGCAACACCGCTAAGAATTTTTCATTGGAAATTAAAGTTTTGAAGAATATTTGATAAAGAAAAAAGAACAAGCTTTTCAAGTAAAACATTGTATAAAAGAAGAATCTATTATTCATGTTGATTGTGATAATTCATTATTGATCATTGTTAAATATTGTCATTAATTTATTTTATTTCATATATTCAGTTGAAATTTTTAAATTTCTCAGTTAAGAGATCGCATTTGAACGAAGATATATTCTCTTTTATTATTTTATATTAAAATCGAAAACAAACGAAAAGATTTGTATTTTATAAATAAATCTTAAAATAGATATTTTTTTCCTGCCAGTCTTGCCTTTCTTAATTGGCAAAGTTTTAATAAAAATTTGTCGTGTTTTATAATCCATGTCACTATGGGTATAAACGTCAGTTTAAAAATAAGAAAGGCTAATGCAAAAATACCAATAACAGTCGTTGTGAAAAGTATATTATGAAAAATAATTTCACCCCTTCGTGCTATTGGTTGTTGTTTATTGATGACATAAAATTGTGTTTCACTAAAACTAATTATAAGTGTATGTTGTGTAGATAAATAACGAAGAAATGTGCCTCGTTGTAAATAAACAAGACGATCATTGAGTGATCCGTGAGTTGATGTTGGAATCCATATACCACTATAATTAGTTAAATCACTATAATCTAATGATTCTGTTCGATTAATGACTTTTGTAAGAGCAAAATTGATTTCTGTTGTTTGACCAATAGTTTGATCGAATGTATAAAACGGTTGACAATAGTCTAGCTTTTGAACGACATATGCTGAATCATTTTTCGTAGAAAGAGGACCCGTAAGACATATGAGAATGCCACCAATATAATACGAACCTATGTACAAAAGCTGACTTTTGCAGTCTATCTGAAGTATAATTTACCTGTTAAATTTATTTGAATAGTTATTTGATGATAAGGGACACGGTATACGACAGTTAGCGTAGCATTATCTGGTTGTGTTGAACAATTGCCACGTGGTAATTCAACAGAATAAGTACCAACATTTTCCTTAACAAAAACAAAAGAATTTTGAAAAACATATTCCTGAATTTAACGATTATACTAGTTCAGGCTGTTGATAGTCATTTATAGATAAAAACATTTTTGATCCATTCTAAGAAATTCATATTTTAAAGAAAATGAACAACGAAAGAAAAATAATAAAAACCTCTAATATTACTAAGCTTTTAGTGATTGATTTTAGATTAATTTGATAGTGAAGAAATTCTCATTGTTTTACCTGTGCAGCAATATCATTACAAGTAAAACCTGTCTGTATAAAATTAACTGTCATAGTAAATTCTTGTTTATCAAGTAAATCAAATATAGGTGTTTCTTCATCGGATTTAATTGTAGCCAATAATTGTAGTGCTGAACTAAATTTAATATTTCTTAATGATGTATCACATGCAAAATAAGCATCATTTGATGTTTCTATTGGATATTCTATAAAAAAAACTGTACCAAACCAAAAACTATACACGATAAGAACGATGACAGAAAATGAAACAAGTCCGCCAAACCATAATTCTCCATTTCCAATAAGGTCAGAATGACGCAATATACATTCAATACGCTGAAAATGCTTCTTTCCTGTTGGAGAACAATGTAAAATTCCCATGATAAGTAGAACAATAAAAGCAATACATAATGTAATTAAAGCCCAAAAAAACGGTGAAATGAGAAGACATCGATTAGATGTTGTTTGTAGACTAAATGTATTTTCTATGAGAATATCATCAAATGATGATATTGAAGATGATGAAGGATAAGCATAAGCTTGACTGATCAATTGAATAGTTGATTTATTGACATCACTGACAGATCCGAGAGGACAAAAAGAATCTGACAAACAAGCAGTACAATTAATAGTCGGATATACGACATTCGTGTCATTCAATGAATTAGATGCTACACCTTTAAAATATCAATTAAGAATGAAATTTAAAAAAAACATCAAAATATTTCTTACTAATAGAAGAACTCTTCGTCATTATCGGACATATCGTACATGGTGTTGGACCTCGAATACTTTTATAAGTTCCACGTGGACATGCGTTTGGACGTTGTGATGGAGAATTAATATCATCCGTTTTCATATAGTAACCTGCATCAGCTGAACGAATTAACACTACAATTCCATCTGTTGTAAGTATAGCTAATTGATTATCGTATGTTTTTGTTAAACGAATAAATGTTGGAGGCGTACTTGACCATTGTTCTAACGTTTGTTGATTATTAGGATAAACATATAATGCATTATTAGAAGATATATTAACTACTTCTAATCGAGATTGTGCCCAAGGAAGTGTAGATTCATCACTGAGAAGTAAACCAGCTTCTATGCCATTATCATCAAGCCAACTAGTTGAACGTGCTGGATAATTGAATGTATTAATTAATGTTAAATTTGTACTATTAAATAAAAATAGATATGTTTTACGTAATTGTGGAACACTAACAAGAACTTGTTGAGTTGAATCATGAATTGAGACAGACATAACATAATCATATTGATAAGTGGAAGCATAACGTCCACGAACAAACTTTTGATTATCAGAATGCAAAGTGTAATTATCAACAAAAGTCATATTATAAGGAGGATTTAAACGAACAAGATAAACAGCTGGTAGAGTTTTTTCAATATCAGTATCGTAATAACCAGCGATAATTGCCATTGAAAACCCATCATTTGTGTCACCTATATCTAATGCATGAGGATTAACAGTTATCGATGAAAACACATCATTCCATGAAAGATCTTTTACATAATTATTTTCAATATCATAAATAAAAATATTTTGTGAAAGAAAACCATATGCATATTTTCCATAAGGATCAACTTTTAATGTTGACAAATCAGATTGATTACCATTCCAAACTTTCACATCATGTCCACCTTCATTTATATTTAACATTCGACGGCATAAACTACTTCGTGAAGTACTTTTGTTTTCACGTGAAAATGTAAATAAACCTAGTTTTTGATATTGTCCATTTGTTGTATTTGTTTGTAAATAAACAAATGATAATTGTGAAGAATTTTGTCGTCGACCAGTAGCTATACTAATGACAAAATCATTTGATGTACTATAATTATAATTGCATACATATTCCAATTCAAATGGAGCCATTGAAACTGTATAACGAAGACCATCATTTTGAGCAAGGACGACAAAATCATTTGTACTAGCTATACGTATTCCATATGCATCATAATCATGTCTGTCTGAATAGGTTACTGCATTGATAAGTAAAAAAAAATTTATCAAAAAAAAGCTAATTACGACATTCAATATGATTAACATTGAAAGCATATTTTCTTTCTTCAGGCAACTTGTAAAACTTCATAAAACATACATCAGTATTGAATTATTACCAATTATCACGAATCATACCATTCATATACCTTTCTGCTGTTGATTTTGCATAAATAGTGTGCGAAAAAAAAAAAAACTTTTCGCATCGCTCATGACAATCGATCATGCAGATGAAAAAGTAAGAACATAAATACTTACATATTATTCAGTAAAATTTAATGCATTTATTATTTCAAACATGTGAAAAGAGCATAAAAAAGCAAAGTTAAATAGACCGATTCTAGAGAGTTCTTTTTTTCAAAACAACAAATTTTTCGGTTATGTCACTAAATTTGACATAGTTGTAAATTTTACTTCATCAACGACTAATTAACTTTCAGATAGAAATTTTATTGAAATTTTTTTATGCAAAAAAAAACGAAGGTAAACAAAGTATAGTTTGTATATTTTGAGTCATTTAGCTTATTCTTAACCAATCGTTGATTATTGAAAATAAGTAGTGTTCGACAAAAAAGAAATATGAATACACACAAATGTGATATTAAATCTTACTTCGCAAATGAGTAAAATGTTGTTATTGGTTAAATCACGTTCCAATTCTTCATATTATTTCATTTTTATGTATTTTTGATTATAGTTGATGGAAAACCTTACTCAAATATATTTAAAATCAAGTTTTGCATTATTTCTTTTTATCGCTTGCCTTGTTTCACATTTCTATGAAAAAACGTTTAATATTTCCAGTATATAGAAGTATTCTATTCAAAAGTATATATGACCTACTTTTATTCATCTCATTATGATTTTTTTATAATTTTTGTGCGCGGCGATCACCTTTGATTGAACAAGGAAAAGAAAATGGCACAAATGAGTTTTTAATTCTTTGTTTTTCCTCTTTTGATAATAAAAGTTCATGTTAAAAAATGTTTTGCTTCTCTACATTTGTTTTTTTAATGACATTATCGAAGTTTATTCTTTCGTTTACAATTCAAAACAAAAAAGAAAAATATAAAAACGAGCCAGGTTAATTCTTTCTAAAATCAATGTCATTTTTGTTTGTATGAATTTATTTTTTATGAACATGATGTTTTTCACGAAGCCATCGTCGAAAATACCAAACAATAACAATATCCCATAAAATTAGAGAAATCATTGAACCAGCACAAAATATTAAATCTGGTTTAGTTCTTTGATCAATTATTTTTTTATTTTTTTCATAATCCCAATAAACACCATGCATTTGACAAAGAGTGATAAAATAAATACATAGATGAAATAAATGATGACCTTGACCAATAAAATCAAAAGTACCGGGCCAAAAACGTTGTGGTAAATCAAAAGCAAAAAATGCTGCACCTATAAGAAATAGTATAATTTGTCCTAAATGACACATTGAACATGAATCTAATGGAAAATTTAATGGAAATAAGCCGACTATTAATGGAATCACTGAATAAATCCATAAAATTCCACAGGGTAAAAACTGACAAACGCGTTTTAATGGTGGATAAGGTGCACGAAAATAATATTGAGCAAAACAATTTGAAAAACAAGCAAGAATACCAAATAAAAGAAGTATAAATATATATTGATATTCAATTTTATCATAATACCATTGTGGTGCTGAATAATAAATATGAAGAAATCCCGAACCAAAACCATGTAAACTAACACCAACATAATCAATTGCAAAACAAGTTTTGTGAACTATTTCAGATTTCGAATGAAGTAAATGTGCAAATGCTGAACTCATAAACATAATTATAGCTGTGCATAATGATACAATAAATGGCCATGAATGAGAATTTTCATAAAATTTTAATCGTTGATTATAATAATATAATAAATGTCCCATATATAATATACCTATGAGATGACTCCAGACATTAACTGTTTCATTATGTTTATGAAATAATGATTTCCAATAATAAGACCATGGTTGATGAAGTGAACGATAACCATTTATTATAAATGGTTCAACTAATATTGGTGGAACATCTTTAAATGTCAATGGATAGTATGACATCTTTTCAAGTGAAATAAAAGTTGATCGTGCACGAAGATGAAGACGTTGTAATCGAGCTCGAATATCATGTTCGAAAGAAAATGATATAGTTGGAAAATAATAAGCAAAACGTGTTGTATCCAACATTATTTAACTCTATTTAACAAAAAAATAAGTATATATTTTAATTATATATTCTTAAATAATAAAATATATATTGCAAAAAGAAAAAATAAAAGACAATATATATGAGAGAAATATAAAAACTTAATTTTTTTCTGCTGATATTCAAAATGATAATACTTCATTTATAACTTTTGTTTTGGCAATAAAACTATGATAAATTTGTGTACTGATGAAAATTTACGATCATAAAAAATAACTAACTATGTTTTTATATAGATTCAAGTATACTGAAATGACAACAGCTAAATATATATAAAAAAAAAGTTTTGCTTATTTTTCTTTTTTGCTTTTATATTATTCTTTATTTTGAAAGAGCGTTTTGTAACAGCTGTTTGTCTATGCGATCACTTTATCGTGCTAGTAGCCTTTTGACTCGAATGTCATTTGAAAATGATAAGAATAAAACACAGTCGGCATAGCTCTTCGAGTACTTTTTACATGTATATTTATATAATAGCGAGTAATCTGAAATAAAAAAAACAGCAATTAATATATGAAGCCATAGAGAATCGTACGTAGTTTTTAAATAATTTGTATATGAAAATATACGTACAACTATTTTTTTGTATTTTGTTTGTCACTTTCCACATCAACAATAATGCAGTTGTTATAATATTGTCGATCACCTAGGAGAGTGAAGAATCGAACGAGTGAAGTTCTGATAGTATGTTTCGCGCGATAGAAGACGATGCCTGAGTTCACCCCTACATGTATACGTGTGCGTTTTCTCTTTCTTTTCTCTCGTTTTTTTTTCTTCCTTCAGTTTGAATAAAAGTAGTAGAAATAATAAATACTACGTATGTTTTTTAATGCAAAAATATGTGATCAACTAAATGTTTGAGATTTATTGAATGACAAATTTATGTACTTTAGTTGATGAGAGATTTGTTTTTGGACTTGAAAAAAAATTGTAATTCTCCTAATACTTTTTCTATATCAACATAAAATGAAGACTATATTTTTGTGTGATATTTATTATGGAGGTATTCTTACGAGGTTGTGTTTATAAACGATGTGCCTTTTTCTTGTCGAATACGTAGACAAATACTGTTATTACTGCTCTTTATATTCTTTTCACATGACGTCAAAGAAAATAAAAATAAACAAACATGTATTATAAGTGCAAACATAGAATAAACAAGGTATTTGATAACGTCGATATTTCGCAAAACGTTAAGTTTTTTTAATGCTTTTTATAAAAAGAAACTGACGTCATAATTAGTAATCATTAAATTAATTAATATAAAATCACCAGATATTCAAACATAATTCGAACTTCTATATTAAGAAATAAAATGACTCTCATATATTTTGTTTGCTATTCTTCAAAGTATTTAATTTAAAATAGATATGGTACGTAATAACAAAATCGATCTTATCAATTAGTATCTAAGAGATACAGACATCGTCGAGATCATATCAATGATGGAGTTACATTAGAGAATTCAATGATTTTTCTTCTTAATATGCAAAACAGATTAGTGAGTTTAGTATTCTTTGAAATTTTTAGCTCGATCTAATCATTTTTTACTAAACAAACAATCAAAATACTAAAGGCATTTTTAGCAATGATTTTTTTAACTGATTCTTTGTTGATTTTCTTGAGAAAAGTGACTTTTACATTTTAGTCTCTAAAACGTCATTTAGCTTAATTTCAATAAATTTTTAGAATTTCAATTAATTTAAAAACAAAAAAGACGAAAACTTGAAATTTTCTATTTTAAAATCCTTGAAAACTTACTCATATCAATTGAAAGAAAGCTTATATATTGATATTCCGTTTTACTTTTAACTAACTGAAATTAGTAATGATCTCTGAAAATTATTGTAACAATATCTCAAATCGACAATCTGGAAAATCATCGCGATGAATTATGATAGAATTTTTATGAAATCTATTCTTGGCTTTGATTACAATTCTTCTTAGCTATTTTTAAGTCAATGACTCTTGCTGGTGTATACTGAGATTTACATTAATTAAAAAAAAGAAATGAACTTATTCAAACAAGATCCATGCAAAATATTTAACTCTCTTCCAGAAAAATGATCTCCAGTGCAAACGATAATAATAATACCTTTTTTTGAACGACTTAGGGTACTATTAAATTCAGTTTGGTGAATGTGTGTAATATTATCTCGTATAACACTTGATAATTACAATAAAAACAGAAAAATAATTATCCTACTTTTTCTTTATAATTCTCAGGTATAGATTTCTGTATATTGTTGCAATTCTTTTTAGATTAAAACCTCTGCTTTTTGATTAAAAGCTCATATCTTCTTCTACAGATCACAGGAACTTCTCTGTCAACAAAAACTCAATATCTCTACAAATTCCAGCTAGTGTATTTAATTAAACCAGTTATTTTAAAGGATAAGACATATTTTCTCTACAAGTTGTAAGAATTTTTCTCAATACAAAATAATTTTTTTTAATTGAAATCTTTTAAAGAACTTATTTTTCATATGCGTTCTTATTTAATAAAATCCTTGACAATTACTTTTCAAAAACTCAATCATTTTATTTAAAGCTTATCAATGCGTCAAGTTTATAATCAACCGAAAATTTAAAACAATTTATTATACTTAAACTTTATCTTATTTATGCTACGAAATGAAAAGAAGTTCTTTCGATTTTTGCTTCTTCTAAATATAAGAATAGATTTCGAAAAGTCAAATACATGTATAATATTACAAGATTTAGAGAATATATTAAGAAGAACGGCACAAGATTAGAAAAAGTAAATAACATCAAAGAATTTATGTGGAACCAATTTTATGTGAAAAGAGCAATTGA